CATGGCCCTCTGGCCGGGAGTTTCCCCCTCTCTAAAAGTGACCCTTGGCTAACAGGAGTCAGGGAGAGGGGCTGCCCTAGGGGCTCCCTACCCTCTCAGTACTCCCAGTGGGCTGCAGCCGTGCATGTTTGTGGTGTGTGTGTGTAAATGTGTCTGAGAGTGTGTGAGTGCACATGTGTCAGTGTGTGGATATGTGTTAGTGCAAGCAAGTGCAAAGAGGTATGTGAATGTGTGTGTGTGAGAGAGATGGAGAACCACGAGCCCAAGCCTCTAACCATTCTGCAGAAATGTGGAGAGGTGTGAGGAGGGGCCTTTGTGCCCGAGCACAGGCTGTTCCTGGCTTCAGCCAGAGTTCCAGGAACAACCAAACGCCTGCCTCTGGCTGCGGGAGCCCTTCCCCAGTCGTCACCGCCTCTATCTCAGCTCCTCTTGCCCCATCTCCCCTCCCAACACCATGGGGGAGGCGGGCCAGGGAGCAGCTGGGGTGGTCTTTGGATGCCCAACCTTAGATTGTGGGGAGCTGGGGTTCAGCAGGCAGGGCCTGACTCCCCACCCAGATCATCACGGGGCCCAGCCCTGGCTTAGGGCACTGGACCTGGCCCTAAGGAGACAACCCTAGTTGTTTGCTGAAGGCCTGAGAGGGCTGGTGGAAATGCACTTGGAGTCTCTGGCTGGAATCAGAAAAAGCACACACCGTGGAGATGGAAGGAACTGTCTGCCAGTCTGAGGCATCACGGCCTTCCCTAGGCCTCAGTTTCCCCACCTGCCATATTGTTCTCTGCCCTGGCTCCTGCCTTGACTGTTAGGAGCACATATGAGCCTAGAGGGACAGGAGAGACGTGTGCCTGTGGCCAGGACCCAGGGCAGAAGCCCCATGGCAGCGGGAGCCAGTGAGAAGAGATGCATTCAGCACAGAGCGCTCTCTGCAGCCTGCGGTGGGTTCCGCATGCCCCAGCTCATAGAAGAGGACACAGGGGCTCCACGCATGTATTTCTGGGCCCCACGAGGGTCCCCAGAGCCCCTAAGGCCTTTGGTGCTGAGGTAGTCGGGGGGGTGGTTGAACACATATTCTCCCCCACCAACTCCACCCTGGGGAACTGGCTGGTTTCCCTTCCCTGTGTCTGGTGTGAAAGCTTCTTACACCAAGGCCTTCACGGGCTGGAGCTGCCCGTTCCCCAAACCACCTCTGCCCTGTAGCCCTCCTTGCCCCACCCCTGCAGCTGTGGGCACAGCACGCTGCTTGGGGTTGCGCCCCGGCTCCGCCTCTGAAACACTGCACCAGGAGGTGAGATCTCGGGGTTCAAATCCTGCTCTATCCCCCAAGTGACCTCAAGTGAGCCCTTCTCTCTGGAGGCCTCAACTAGGGGTGTGAGGGTGGCGGAGAACGCCAAGGGAAGAGAGGCAGGGGTGGGTCAGAGCTGGGCCCTCCCATCTGGGTCCACTGACGCCCCTTTCTGCTGTGGCCTCGCTCTCTCCACTCTTGGCCGCCAGCTGCTTCTGGACGTGGACATTAAGTCTAACCGGAAATCCTTCCTGTCCAGGGCAATTACTGGTTTCCACGGCTCCAGGAGATGTTGAAATGCAGGCTGTGCTTGCCTTGGACTTGTTTTCCTTCCACAGAAAACAAAGCAAAACAAACACACAGGCACGTGCACACGACACATAAGGGCAGAAAGTCGAACGTTAACCTTGACTCCTCAGGGGTTGCTCAGCGAGTGAACAAGAGAACCAGGTTCCTGGGTTGGAGGCCTGGTATCCCCGTGGACGCCCTGTGTGACCTTTGGCCTGAGCCACAGACAGTGGGAGCAAGCGACCCACAGTGCTGGCCCCCCACCCACCACCCAGCTGCCAAGCTGTGTGCAGGGCCTTGCGTTCACTGGGCTGGCTTATCCACACAACATCCCCATGGAAGCCACGGCTCAGAGAGACCAGGGAAACTGCTCAGGGTCACCCAGCTGTGGGAGACAGGACTGATCTGGAAGCCAGCATGACCGGGCACAGGGCCACTGAGATGGACGGGTCTGAGTCCTCAGACCTGTACCGGGAGTGCAGCCCTCCCTGGGCTGCAGGAGGAGATGCCCTCTTTTGGGGGATTATTCTCTTCCCTGCCCACTCTGCTGGGCTGGGTCCCTTCTCTGCTCACTGCTTGGCTGCAGTGACACCCACCTGCCCTGCCCATCATTTCACAAAGCCTGAAGCCAGGCACCAGAGGTGAATTCTTTCTTTGCGCCAATAAAGGGAAAGGGCTTGATAGATTTCAGGATTCACTGTGCACCCCAAAGAAGGCAAGGGGTCCCGCTTCTGGAGTCAGGGACCTCTGTTCCTGCCTGTTCCCCACACTTCCCCATCCGTGTTCCCTGTTCCCAAGTACTTACATCTTGTTTTCTCTGCTCCATCTCAGAGGCTGCAGTCTGGAGGCATGGACTGGCCCATAGACATGTCATTTGGCTATTTAATAAACTAGTTGCCAAAATTTAAAAATTAGAAAATTCCACCTAAAAACCTGGACTTCTAGTCTCTCCCACCACCCTCTTTCCACCACACCTCATGCGGTGTATTCTTAGCAGCAAGTGGATGAAGCTGAGGATGGAATGGCCAACAGGGAGGTGGAGCCCCTTGCCCATGTTCTCCTCATTTCCATCCCCATCAGCCCCACGGGACCATAAGGCCCATTTCCAAGCCTGGTGCTGCTCAAGAGTGCATGTGGGACTGATCAAGGACTCTAAGAACCTCGGGGAACCCAAGTCAGTGTCTCAGCATCTCTGGGGTGGGACCAAGCCTCCCGTAGGTGATTTTGGTGAGCAGTCGGGTTGAGAACCAAAAATGCGCTGACCCTGAGTGGAGGGGCTTTGTATGCAGATGGTTCCTTAAGGCTCACTCGGCTGTGGCTCCAGGCTCTGTGAGCGGTCCCTTGGTGAGAGCCCCACATCGAGACAGCCCAGCCTGGTCCTTGCTCAGAAGAAGGGCCCTCTGTCTCCTCTCCCAGGGACTTTCCAGGAGGTCCCAGACACTTGAGTCTGCTCACTGTGGGATACTCAGCATCTGAGGCCCAAATCCCGGTCTTGGAGAGAAGGCCAAGTGGGAGCTGCAGCGGAGGACCGGGGCTGCCGTCTCTGAGGAAGATTCACTCCTATATATGGTCACCGGGAGCCCCATTGCAGAGCGAGCCGTGACCTAATGTGCTGACAATCTTGCCCAGTCTGGGGCCCTGCCGGGGAAGGGCCCTCACCCTGGAGAATGTCTGCTCGGGGACAGAGGGGCTGGGAGGAGGCGAATGCACGGGATAGAGACAAGGTGAGACAAGACATCCCAGACACCCAGAGACTAGAGGGGTGGCCCCAAGGCCCCCCACCCCTCATGGCCTCCTGCGTCTGTGAAAAGGTCCAGCTCCCCACTGATGCTCTGTGTAGACAAGGAAACCCAGGAGCCTCTCTTGCTTTTAAAAGTTCTTTTTAATACAGCATGAAAAGGCTATATCTCTATAGGCAGGCCGTATACAGATTCTCCAGGAATAAGGCACACGACGGAATGCCATCCCAAGGGCGGCCCTCAGGAGAGATTGGGAGGCTTCTCCACGCACCCTCCGAGCTGGCCCACGGGTTCTGTTTGTCTTTTTAGCTGGACATACACATATTAACAGATACAGACACCGACAGGGTCACCACACAGGAGTGGAGGAGGTTGAACGGTGAAGTTGACAACAGAGAGTGGTGAGCTCCCATAAGACGGGACGCCTCCCAGACGTCAGGGTTAGTTGTCACTCTGGGCTACAATGTAGTGATGCTGGATTTAATATTTGTTCCAAGTAGATTCAAGTCCGTTAGATGCTGGAGGGCAGGCGTCAAGGCTCTGGGTGACAAATCCAAGTTCAAAGAGCATAGGGCCCTGAGGCACGGCTCAGATGGCAAAACTCCAAAGAGGGAGGCCGGAGAAATCCTCCTCCTGCTTCCTCTCCCCTCCCTGGGCCCTGCTGAGTGGGAGCCCTGGACCAGGCCAAGGAGGCCATCTTTGGAGCTGGCCGACTTATGGAGGGGCTACATAGTCACATGTCGCCTCCTCCTAACCTGGCTCACTTCCGCCCCCCCCCCCAAGATTAATAACCGTAATAACAAGATAATAATAAGAAGGTGCAAGAGAATGGATTCTAATGCTGTGCTATCCTCAGCTGAAGAGGCTCAAAGGGTTCACCATTCCCTTTTTCACTAAGTATCTAATAATAGCTTCCCTTACAAAAGGTAATACTTTCCCAAATACACATATGTATAAATACAGGACAGGAACACATGAATAAGTCTAAGCACTTGAATAATATGCTGGCTACCTAATACTGATATTTTCATCCAAGGAAAACAACAGAGAATAACAATAATATGGCTTAAAGAATTGCAAAGATTTTTTTTCCTCATCAGAATTATGTACCAACTTCATATAATATTCTATGTAGACAATATTTCCTTCTTAATGTAATTCAGTTGCAGACTTTTTACAGACCAAAGCATAGTAAAAAAAAAAAAAAGAAAACCAAAACAGGAAAAAGAGAAAAGTTCTCACCATAAATATTTTCTTGCAGCTCAACCAGAAGGTTTGCAAAAAATACTTCCAGAAATCTTCCTTTGATATTCTATTGCCCTCCTGAAAGTTCTGAAGTTTTGAAAATGCCTCTCTTTTTGTTTAATCTCAAAAATCAAGCAATCATATTTTTCTTTTTCTTTTTTTTTCTTAAAAAAAGCCCTCAAATATATACAGACAAAAATCACTGTGAAGTTTTCGGGAGAAGGTAACAAATTCAGTGTTGTGAGAAAAATTGGAAACCATGCAGAAATTTTAACATCCATGAATTTTCGTTTCAAAATACACACATAGTATTTTTTTCTTTAAAAAAAAAAAAAAGGAATTCTGTGTCAAGTATAACTCAAAATAAATACAAATTCACAAGTAGAACTATCGAATATTTCATATGGGGTAAACACGGTTCTCTCCCAACTGGATCGCTAGACCTACTAACTGCAAGCGATTGTCCCTTTTGAATGTACTACAACCACACACTTTCTTGTCTCCTGGGCACCCAGGCCCTCTGAGCACTTAATTCTCACAGCACCAGCCTGGACAGCAGTGGTTCTTGCTGAGGCCAGAGAGGTCCCAAATTCAGCCAAACAGTACAGGAGTGGGTGGTGCAGAAAGGCAGCCTCGGGGGGAGGCCCAGCCCCGCTGGCCGGCTCTGTACAGATGGTGGGGTGCAGTGGCTGCCAGCTGGACAAGCCCGCTGCAAAGGGCAGTTTGGGGTGATAGCCCATCCCTTCTTGACCTGTGGGAGGTCCTGGCCTCCAGGGGTCTGGAGCCTGGGTTCTTTCTAGGGTGTGAGCTTCCCCCACAACTACAGCCCAGGCATTCTGAGACCAAGGTCCCCCCATGAAGCCAGGTCCCTGGAGGCGCTGAGCCTGGTCCACACAGCAGAGACCAGCGCAATGTCCACCACAACAAATGTTCTCGTTAGCAGGGCACTAGTATGACTGACAGTAACAGCTTCCCCTCCGGGAAGGAGAGCCCTGGGCCAGGATGACTCTGGCTCACCTTGACACCATGGAGCAGGCAGGGAGCAGCCGGGAGGGACTCCTCAGTGGTGGGCGGTGAGCGTGTTCACAGCCAGGGACCTGTAACTCTGTCCCTGCGGCCGGAAGGAGGCGGCTATGGGGCTCAGGCTGGAGCAAATACACTCCTCTTAAGTGCTCAGAGGGCATGGCCTCCCCCACAAACCTACCCTGCAGCCCTCTGGCTGCAAACACACTCACTCCATCTCTTCGTCTCACTCCCTGGACCCCTGATAAACACTTCGCTGTAACTCCTCAGTTGCACAAAGCATATTCATTTGAAAACAAAAGGCGACCGGACACAGGTTGGGTGTCCTTGAGCCGTGGTAAACACTGAATTTCAGGCCCATTTCATGGTCTGACTTTTTTCCCCCCTCACAGAGGCATAATGTTGGGCAAAAATCAAGTGACTCATCTCTGACAAGCTGGCTCCCCCCGGGAGAAAGGAAGGGTGACATAACAGTAAAAATAGGGCTTCTCACTGGGGAGAGAACCAAGAGGAAGGTGATCCCTCCCGCTAGCTGGGACAGTGTGGTCCTGGCCAGTGTGAGTGCCAAGAAGCCTCCCTGTCCCCTGGGGAGGTAGGAATCATCGACCTGGCTTTGCAAATGAGAGGTTCTGGAGCTTGTACTGGGGTTGCCTATGTAAGGGGGGGCACTTCTTCATGTTTGTAGGTAGGGGACAACAGGCAGAGCTGGGGCTTCAGGGGCAAACAGGGAAGGACAGAGGTCCTTCCACAGGACTTATTAAGTGACTGACGACTCCGTGGTGTACAGGATAGTGGGCGTACAGGACCTGGAAACCCTCTCCAAATAAAGCTCTCTGCTCTAGGAGATGGTGTGCAGCCAGGATGAACCCCGGGACATCAGAACACCTCTCTGCTGTCATTCTCTCACGGATGAGTGGGGAAATGGGGAGATGAGAACCCTTCCCAAGACTCCGTAGGGTATCACTGGCGGGACCAGCATTAGAACCTGGGACTTGGATCTTCCAGGCCTGTGTACTTCCTGCCAGAGTGGCTACACTGCTGGGTTCTACAGCCCAGGAGTAGGTTCCATCCGAGGGTGGCCCCCCAGCAAGGGTGGGAGGGGAAGAGGGACGGAAGGGGATGGGATCAACAAAATCTAAGCAATAGGGGAAGTATGTGGCAGGGGTGGGGTGGGGGGGGAGTGGAGGCGTGGCCTGACATGCACCAGGTCACATCTTGGAACACTCTCCAACATTCAGTGCCTCCCCGTCCCTGACCCCTGGGTTTGTGGGGGGTGGGGTGCAGCACCCAGGTGCCAAGCCAGTGACATTAGAGGCGGTCAGATTTGGGGCTCAAAGTGGCAGGGGGCAGAAGTGCCCACTCCCCAGCAGCTGCTAGAACCAGTGTCAGCTCACCATGCGTGCTGACTTGGAAAATTGGGGCTTTGCAAGAGTGGCTTTTCACACAGGGCAAACTGGAAGGTTCTGGGTGGGAGAAGGCGGCCTGGCTGGTCTCGGGGAGACAGTCCCCCGCAGGCTCTGGGATTCACAGTAAATTTAGTGCACTCGTGGCCAATACAAGGCTGCTCACCCCAAAGGGAGTCTCAGAGGAGAGCCTGCAGGGGACACTAAGGACTCTGTGGGGTCCTGTGTGCTGACCTCTGCTCGCCCCGACCCCTTCACACAGACCCACACTCACTGTAAGGAGTCTCAGAGACTCAGCTTTCTGGGGGCGTGCAGCGATATCAGTAACACTGGCAACATACATGAGCCAGGAACCTAAGAGCCCACCCCCCCAGACCTGTCAGCCTGCGAGGACACCCCCGCACACACAGGGGACACACAGGGGGGTGGCGTCTTCTCTGGCGGACGGGAGGGTGGCGGGGCAAGGCCGGCGGCAGGTCATTGCACACGCCGGCAGTAGTAGCCCAGCACCTTGCACTTCTCGCACAGATGCTGGGGGTGCTCCTTGCTCTGGTCGGACACATCCAGGCCATCGGGTTTCTCCAGGGGTCTCTGCAGAGAGGAAGAAGCAAGCGAGCCCAAGGGTGGGGAGGAAGGGGGTGGAGAGAAAGAAACACCAAAGAAGGGGGGGTGAGACAGATGTGGGGAGAGGGCAGGCAGACAGGAGGAAGGTGACAGATACACAGGGAGGGCGCAGAGAGAGAGAGCACATGAACCTGTAGTCAGAGGTTGTTGCCCAAAGCACCCAGGACCCTTCCTGCCTCTTGCCTGCTGCAGGTAACACACATGTCTTATGAACCGAAGGGCTCAGGCTGAGGCTTTGAGCTGGGAGCAGGGCTGTGGGAGGGCGTCTTGTACCCAGAGCCCCAGGTCTAGACACCACTTTACCCACCACCTCCCAACACCCCACCCCCAAACAGCACTCTCTGAGCCGCCACCACCTGAAGCTCACAAATGGTGCACAGACGTGATTAAGCTGAAGAAACAGAGGCCCAGCTCAAGGGAGACCCAAGCTACATCCCCTGCTTCCTAGCACACACTGCTTCTTCCCAGGCCACTTGTCACCCCCACACCTGCTCCTGTGGCCTCAAGACTCAAGGGGAGTTTAGGGCATTCTCTGGTGGTCCAGGGGTTAGGACTTGACGCTTTCCCTGTGGGTGCCCAGGGTCAATGTCTGGTCGGGGAATTAAGATCCTGCAAACCATGTGGTGTGGCAAAAAAAAGGGAAAAAGATTCAAGAGTTCAGCTATGAAAAGGAATGAGTCTGAGTCAGCTGAAGTGAGGTGGATGAACCTAAAGCCGGTTATACAGAGTGAAGTAAGTCAGAAAGAGAAAAACAAGTATCATATATTAACACATATATATGGAATCTAGGAAAATGCACCTATTTGCAGGGCAGGAATAGCGATGCAGATATAGAAAACGGACTTGTGAACACAGCAGGGCAGGATGAACTGAGAGTAGCACTGACATATATACACTCCCGTGTGTAAAATAGATAGCTAGCGAGAAGCTGCTGTCTAGCACATGAAGCTCAGCTCAGTGCTCTGTGATGACTTAGAGGAGTGGGACAGGAGGGGGGCTCAAGAGGGAGGGGCTAGTTGTATACACATAGCTGAGTCATGCTGTTGCACATTGTAAAGCAACTGCTGCTGCTGCTGCTGCTAAGTCGCTCAGTTGTGTCCGACTCTGTGCGACCCCACAGACTGCAGCCCACCACACTCCTCCGTCCATGGGATTTTCCAGGCAAGAGTGCTGGAGTAGGGTGCCATTGCCTTCTCTGTGTAAATCAACTATCCTTCAATTAAAAGTAAATTTAAAAATAGAGTTTAACCTATTGGGGTCATGGCATTTCAGGCTTGAGGTAAGCAAGCCCTTAGCTCTGTGAGGTCAGCAGCCAGTGTTCTGATTCATCCCGCACCCCAGGGCCTGGCACAGTGCCTGCCCCGTTTATGGAAGACTGAGGTCCAGACAAAGGAGGTGACTTGTCAGACCTCTGATGCTGATCACTCACAGTGTGACCCTACAGAACCTCAGTTTCCACATCTGTTAAGTGACCATTTTTACAGCCTGTTTACAGGGAGGAGTCAGGCATCTAGATGTTTGTAAATTGAGGGGTGTTCAGCATGTACAAGCACATTTCTGTTACACAGGGGGCTTCCCTGCTCCCTCTGGTATTCTCAAAAGCTAGCTTGTTTCTCTGGAAAACATATGGAGGCTATTAAGCAGACATTTTCTTGGCTGGCAGCTGTAGCCCCAGCCCAGAACCCCTACCTGTAGCAAGGTCCCCTGTACAGGACTTGGAGGGGACTCAAAGGAAGCTGGTCAGGGCCAGATGGCAGCCACATGCCAAGGAGAGGGGCAGGAACTGCAGGCTGGTGTGGGCCCAGGGAGCCTTGGTGCCCGTGACCAGGACCTGGGATGGTCCTGGAGGGAAGCTGAGTGTGAGCCCTGCCCCCGGGCAGGCTGCAGACTGCTCAAAAGGAGTACACCAACATGTCTGCGTAATTATGCAGTGCCTGGCCTGCAGCTGACACTGCAGCAGGTGGGGAGCGGACAGGTCAGAGGGCTCTGGGAGGTGATAGACTGTGGGTGGGCAGGGTTCTGATGTAGGGTCATAAAAAGTCATCTCCGTGCTTCCAGGCCTACAACCACATTGGGAAGACATAGAAACAGGGCAGGACCCTTGGCCTCACCTCAAGAAGCTTTTAGATGACCAGCTTTCCTGCCCAGGGGAGAGGAGAAAAAGTTTGTCTTCATGTCAGACTTGGGCTCGTGCTACCTATGAGCTGTGTGACCTCTCACAAGTCACTTAACCTCTCTTGCCTCAACTTTTCCCCTCTATTTCTGCTGTTTAATCTCTAAATCCTGTCTGATTCTTTTGTGACCCCATGGACTGTAGTCTACCCGGCTCCTCTGTCCACGGGATTTCCCAGGCAAGAATACTGGAGTGGGTCACCATTTCCTTCTCCAGGGGATCTTCCTAACCCAGGGACTGAACCCACTTCTCCTGCATTGGCAGACGAGTTCTTTACCACTGAGCCACCAGGAAGTCCCCTTTCTCATCTATACAATAGGCTAATAAGGGTACCTACTTGATGGGGTTGTTGTGAAGAGTAAATATGTTAATACATGCAAGGTTACTAGAACAGTGCCTAGTACCTAAAGAGCAAACTGTCTATTAGTATTAATATCATGCATCATTGCTGTTGCTATGTAGAAGGGGGCAGGCTGGGAACAGGGGAACCAGCTGAACCCCTGGGGAAATGCACTTGCAACATCCTGGCCATTCCCGCTCCTTGGCTGTGACCTGTCAGTGCCCCTTCCCTCCACGGGTCCTGGCTCAGCCCTGCCCTGGTGCTGGGTGGAGGAGGTGGGGAAGCTGTCAAGGCGACTGCCCTCTGCAGAGGGAAAACAGTCAGCAGCTGGGACTGATCACCCCAGGGCCACCCCCACCCCCCACAGGGAGGCAAAGCCCATTCTTGTTTTCTTCTCCTGGAGGGCAGGGCCAGCAGGGGGAAGCCACAGCTGGAGTCTGACGGGAAACAGATGTAGTGGGGAACAGGGAGAGGGGAAGTGGAGAGTTCTCAAGAGATGGATGCCGACAGGTCAGAGCGCAGGGAGCAGGAGAAATAAAGCAGCCCCTCTCCACTGCAGGGAGTGGGGGAGTCTGGGGGGACAGATGCTTCGAGCCCCTCCTCTCAGCTCTTCAAAGGCTCCTGACTGCTGCGGGGCCTGGCAGGGCCATCACCCCCTCTGTCCTGCCCCCAGCTTGCCACTTCCCTGAGGGAGAAGAGCCCTGTGACAGGAGATTGAGGGGTAAAGCAGGGGCAGATCGGGGTCCCAGGCCCCCTTGACTGGCTGAGTGACCTCGTTCAAGTCCCTTCTTCTCTCTGGGTCTCAGTCTCCCTGTTTCACACAGTAGGGGCTCAACTAACAAGCACAGAATGACGGGGAGAGGGAAGAGCAGAGCCACGCGCGCTCAGAAGATTCTTCTGCATTTGGTCCAGAGACTTCGGGTCTGGAGGCGATGATCAGGGAGGTGATGCTTGCACTGAGCTTTCAGGATGGAGACAATGAAGCACATGAGGCTGCTGCCAGCCTGGGGGATGGTGGTACAGCTCTGGCCTCTTGGAAGGGGTGCTAAGGCGATACAGAGGCAGGGTCAAGGAGGCTGGAGCCACTGCAGGGAGTTGGGCCCCAGTGGACTTGGGTGCATGGACCGGACCCCTCTTCTTCAATCACGGGCCATGAGAGACATCGGGACTGAGCCTCCCAGACCGCCAGCACAGACTCAAGCACCATACATCTGAGTTCTGGCAGGAACTGGCCTGTTCCCAACTCCTGCCCCAGCCAGCCAGCCTGACCTGCACTTGCTGCTCCCCCACCCCTCCCCTCCATCTGTCTCCTGCAGTGTTCTCTTTAGCCCCACCCTTCGTGAGTTTCAGCTTCTCTACTGAGCTTGGGTAAGTCACTTATGCCCTTTGCCTCAGTTTCCTCCTCTGTAAGAAGGGGAGACAATAGAGCTGACCTCCTGGGATGGCTGAGAGGATAAAGGGTATAAAACACGCGGAGGAGTGCCTGGCCACTGCTCACTGCGGTCAGGATCTTCCCGAGTCTCCAGTGGCTGAGGCTCACCTGCAGCCTGGCCTCCTCCCTCCTGCGCTGGGAGCCCAGTGGTGTGCTCCAGCCCACCCAGTTCAAGGAGGGCAGTGCTAGGACACAGAGGCCTGCCTGGCCTCAGGACCGGGCTCCAAAGACAGGTGCAAACTCAATTCCATGGCCCCACGTCTATATGGGGGCCTTGGAAAGGCCACATGACTTCTCAAGGTTGCAGGTTCACTCCCAGTGAAGCGGGATGAACTGGACACCTGGTCTGTGGGCAGAGCACACATGAAGGGTGTACAGGCGCTCAGCAAATGGCACCCAGAGTGTGGCCACACCTGTGACTCAGGCCAGGAATTCTCTGAACGCCAGTAGGTAGCCCTGTCTGATGGAATCCCATCCCTTGGGTTTGAGAGGAAGCTCCTGGAAGGCCTGGCAGCACCCTGACCTTGGTCTTCCTTTAGAACCTACACAGACCACTCAAGCAGTCCTCAGCAGAGTGTGTCCAGAGAGGGAAAAAAGGAATCCTTCTGATAGCACTGGCCATGCCCCAGGGCCCTGGGCGCATGTGCTGATGGTCGGACATTAAGGGAGGTGCTTTTGGACTGGGGTCCCAGACCTGCTCAGGAATTGCCAGGAAGACCTCGGGAGCCTGGATGCTGAGGATTCTTTACCCTGCTCACCTTCAGCCCCATCCTTGATGTGCTCCACACACATGTGCATGCCACATGTCCTGGGCCCCAGTCACCAGGTCACCAAGCCTGTGTTGGCGCTCCAGGGCCTCGGTGTCTCCCTCGGTGTCATCAGGCTGTGGACCAGGCCCCTGCGCTAAGGAGACCCTCATCCGCTGGGCTGTGTGGCCAGCTTCCTATCTATTTGCCTGGGAGCCGCAGGGTGGGTGCTGGCAACCATGGACACCCTGGGGGACAGAGCCTGCACACAGAGACCACGGAGGCCTGCCCAAGAGTCATAAAATCACAGAAGAGTTCATCCATGAAAGCGCGCCTGGACAACTCCCAGACCTCCTAGTAGGACAAAGACCAAATTCTGGGTCACCGTCTCTGAGCCAGCCCCTCCCTCCGAGCTCTGCTTCCCTCCTCGGCTCCTCCAGGCTCTCCTGTCCTCTCCACTTTGCACACGTTCTTCCCTCACCAGAAGGGCACTCCGCTCTCTGCCACTCCCACCCCAGTCCAGTCCCCTTGGTCTGCAGGCCCTCCACGGCCCCTTCAGGGCTCAGCCCGACACCACTGCCTCAGGGGATTCTCCCCCACCCTCCAGCTTCCCTTTCCCTATGCCCTCCTCCACCGCCTGCTCCTGCCATCTTCAGGGAAGACTCGCCCGACCCCCAGCTCCTCAGTACCCGGACTCCCTCACCAACCCTAACCTTCTCTCCCACCAGCCCTTGGCCACACCCTGGACTTGGTCTTCAGAAACCTGCTCTCCTGGCAGTTCTCAGCTCCTCCCCTGAACCCAGTCCTGGCCCCACCTCTCCATCTGGGCTCCTCTGGCTTCGTTTCCTGACCAACTAGCTGATACCCCTGGACCGGGCATTTCCAACATCACACTTTTCCAAATATGCCCCAAACTCAGGCTTCTTCCCTCTGAAACACTCTCCTGGCACACCTTGGCCCTGAGCCCCTGCACTGTCTCTGGCCCGCGTCTGCATGTAGTGAATACTGCTGGGCAAGGTGCAGAACTGAGCTGACAGCTTTAGTGACACTTAAATTCTCGAAGCTCCCCTGGGCTTGGATGCTGCTGGCCAGTCTGGTTATGTTTCCCTGGTAGACCTGCTTCCTCCTTCATCCTTCAGCAGCCCACCATACCCCTCTTCACCCTGGCTTTTAGCTGAAAACTTCGCATCCCATTTCACTGAGAAGACAGAAGCCTTGCAAGTGAAGTCCCCCTTCTCTGCTCCATGTCCCTCCCCAGTCATCCTCCACCTCCCTCCCTCTTGGGCTGACCATAAGGCATGCCTCTTGTCCTGGTATCACCAGCCTTTTACTTTCTTCTTGGCCATCCTCATTTACCCGTAACATGCTCCAGGCTCTCTCACCTTATAACATCCATCTCAATGGCCTGTCTCTACTCCAGCTAGGGTCCCATTTCTCTGCTTCTGTCCACAATCAATGCCCTTTGGAAAAGTGGACAGCGGAGGTACTTCCTCTGCAGCCTGGCCCAGGGAACCTCGGCCACCAGGGCCACTACCCTGGCCAACAGATCCCCTTGTGAATTCATATCTTCACGCCACTTATGCCTGACCTGCAGGGCATTGGCTTCCGTGGTTCTCAGACCTGGCTTGCCACTCAAAAAATCTTCCAGGTAAAAGTGATTCCACACCCAAAGCTTCAGGACCATCTCCTTGTTACCAAACCACAAGGGCCCTTCTCCGTGGTCATGACATCTGCCAGCTCAGCAGCAGCCAGCATCTGAGCCCTGGAAGGGCACTCCCTCCCATCTCGGGGACTCCCTGCTTTGTGGTCTTTCTCACTGAATGCTTCTCCTTCATCTGACCTCTGAATGCTGGGACTCCACAGCACATGGTCTGGGGAATCCCTTCTCTACCTTGTCCACATTCGGCAGGAAATCTCATCATTCCCTAAATACCTTTAGGCCAATGGTACCCAATTATGGGTAAACCACCTTGAGTTCTTACATGAACTTCAGAAAAACAAACCCAACTGCCTTCCTGACATCTTGACCTGGATTTTCAGGAACATCTCAAATGTAACATGTAACAGAGGTCTCTTGCCTTTATCTAGAACACCTATGTCCCACTCCAAACTGCCCCCAGCCCAGACTGCCCACCATGGTCATGACCACCTCCATCCACTCAGGAGCTCAAGTCAGAGTGTGACTGTTCTCCTGGTTTCCTGGCCCCACCTCACCATTCACATCCAGTCCCGTGACGCTGTGTCAGACCCAGGTGCAGACCCACAGACTTCCTATGGCTTGCCTGGCACTATTGCCATGGCTTTCCTACAGGTCTCCTCACATCTCCCAGCCCTTCTAGACCAATCTCTACACACAGCTGGAGTAATCACCTGTAAACGAAGCTGTTTCTTGGCGTTCCCCTGTGGGGCCCCCTAAATTCCTCTGGGGACTGTCCCATTTAGCCCTCCTATTCCTCCCACTCCACCCTCCTGCTCCTTCACTGAGCTCTGAGCCTTGAGTATCCCAAGTCCAACAGCCTCAGGGCATTTGCACCTACTCTGCCCTCTTCCCGGGATGACCATCCACCCTCTCGTGACAGGTGTAGCTTCCTTCCCTCCTTCAGGTCCCAGAGTAAATGCTGCCTCCTCTCTGCAGCCTGCAGTGAGTGGGGCCTCCCTGGTATGATCCACCTCAACCCTCTCCCAGCAGGGCAGGCAGGCCCTTGGCCACCAGCCCTGTTGCACAGTCCCAGGCACCCAGCAGCTGCTTTGTGTACAGGCGCCAACTGGGCAAATGAATCAATGAAGTACTCTTCTCTACAGCATTCCGCTGCCCCTCATCCCTCTTTGTGTCATGGTCGCACCCCCAGGCCATTACTTTCAAAATTCACTGCAGTCTGTGGTCTCAGGGTCTTGGTACAGTTGCCCCTTTATCCTCCTTCCCTGCCTCTCTCCAACCCCCCCACCAGTTTCCAATGAGACAAGCAAAGGACAGGGCTCACTTGGATAGATGTGGTCTCATCCCCATCGTATGAAGGAGCAAGCTGGGGCTCAGTAAGGGAAAAGGTAACCCTCCCCTATCCGTTCCAGATGAAGGCCCTTGAGTACACCCCACTGCTCCCCTGCCCCTCCACCCACTCTGAACACGCCCCTGCTCCCCCGCCTGCTCCCTGCACCCCGCCCCTCACCTGCTTGTGCGGGTACACGTTAATGTGGCACTTGATGCACTCCTGCCCCATGTTGGCCCAGGAGTTGCCGCTCATCCATTTTCTCTTGCACTTGGGACACTTGTACTCGCCGAAGCAGCGCTTTTTGCCCTGGTACGGGGTCAGACCCTCGCCTTTGGGGCGTGCCTAGAGGACAGGAAGCAAACACAAGGGATTGGGGTCCACCAGGCCACAATAATGCCCCCCCAGGTCCCCACGGCCTCTCCCTTCAGCCTCCATGCTCTGCGTCCCCAGGTGCGGACATGGGGACACCTTTTGTCCCAGGTCCAGAGGACACCAGTCACCCCAGAGCACACGTGGGAATCCCAAGGCTGGGAGACTCACACGGGAATGAAGGACGGAGCTGGTGGTGGGTTTTTAGAGTGAAGGAAGAAAGTACTTGCTGGTGGCGAGGAATTACTCCTTTAACACCGCCATCATGAAGGGGCGGCTGGCAGTCACATGACCTACCGACACATGGCCCAGAGTGGTGTGGTTTAAATGGTTACTGAAGGGGCAACGTAGGCAGAACACAACCTCGAAAGCAGTGAAAGTGTGTCTCCCCTCAGCCCTGCTCCCAGCCACCTGCTCCCTTACTTGGCAGCTATGTTAATTTCGTTCAGACCACCCCAAAGATGGGCTCTCCATTTTCAAATGCATTCAGCATATACATATGTATGCACATTCTTTCTTTTCCCTCAGTCATACAGAGACAGATTATACACTTGGTTCTGCATCTTCCCTTTCTCACTTAATAATAATCCTAGACATATATATATATAATATTTCCCCCAGATCAATCAGTACAAACAGAGCTACTGTATTGTGTTGTCAACTCTGTGCAAGTTTTATAGTGTTTCTTATCACTACTATAACTGTCTAGATTGTTTCTACTCTTCTATTACAAGCAGTGCTACAATGAATAACTCTGCATATATAAATGTGTGTTTGGAGATGGTAAAGAATCTGCCTGCAACACAGGAGACCCAGATTCAATCCCTGGGCTGGGAAAATCCCCTGGAGAAAGGAATGGCAACCCACTCCATTATTCCTGCCTGGAGAATTCAATTCCATGGACAGACCATGGGGTCACAAAGAGTTGGACACAACTGAGCAACTAACATTTCCATGTGTGTATATATAATTTTGCACATATGAGAGTACATTTGCCCAATAAGTTCATAAAAGTGAAATTGCTGGGTATATGGGTATGTGCACTTTTCATTTTTTAAAGATGACAGTTACCATTAGCTTCCTCTCCCCACCCCCAGCTGCAGTTGTATCAACTTAACATTCCAACTCCTCAATAGCTTTCATCATTGTTAATCTAGGAGGTAGACTTCTCAGAGTAGCTTTGACTTGTATGATATGTACTACAAACAAGAGAGAATCTTTGCATTTAAGAATCATTTGTGTTTCCTTTGTGATTTTTTTTTTCTGCTGGGGTTTGATATTTTTCTTGTTAGTTTGCAACTGTACTTTATATATTAAAGAAACTAGCTCTCTCCTACATGGTTTTTTTTTTTAAAAGCATTTTTACTGAGATACTATTTATATAGCTAATATTTCACCCATTTAATGTGTACAGTTCAGTGGGTTTTGGTATATTCGCTGAGTTCTACAACCATCACTACAGTCTAATTTTAGAACATTATTTGTTACTCCCCCACAGAAACTCTGCATTCATTAACTCATCATCCAGCCCCCACTTCCTCATCCCACCTAGGCCCAGGAAACCACTGATTTAACTTTCTCTCTATGGGTTCCGTTCTTGACATCTCAGGTAAGTAGATCATACAATAATCGCCCTCTGTCTGGCTTCTCTCACTCGCTGTGACGTTCATCTACATTACAGCATGTGTCAGGACTTCATTCCTTTTTGGTGCCAAATAATAACCCATTAGGGCTTCTCAGGTGGCTCAGTTGTAAAGAGTCTGCCTGCCAAGCAAGAGACACAGGTTTGACACAGGGAACGCAGTGTTTGTGTTTGTGTCCAAAGAAGTGCATAAAGGTCAAGAATACAGACTCTGGATCCAAACCCTGGTTGTGATCCTGGGCAAGTTACTTCACAAGATTAGTGATAGCAACTACCAGAAAAGTCTGTTCCGGAACAGGATTAAGTGAAGCAGAACACTTAGAACAATGTCTGGCAAATGAAACAGGAGTATTTGTTACTATTATTTGCTAATGTAGAACAATAGCAGTATATAAAATAATAACTTCTTCCTCCAGTAATCATGTCTTTTTTGCCCAGGCACCATTACCACCATTTGGTGATAGCCTACTAGAATTACAGACAAAATCCTAAAAAGGGCCATACATGCTGAATGCATAAATCTAAACTTAGAAGGTGACAGCAACACTGCCCGGGTCTTCTGGGCCTACTGCCTTATGTCTTTTGGATCCTTACTGGCCTTACTGGCAGCCGTGATATCCTGGGGAGAAGACTCCGTCTGAGCTCCAAGGCAGGGCCTCAGCACTGATCAGGTTCAGGGGAGAGACCAGTTATGCCAGAAGGAGCGCTCCGCGTGCGGTCAAGGCCTAGGGTCCAGTCAGTGTGCAGTAGAGAGGCCACCTTATGACTCTGAAGACGCTTTGAGTTGTGCTGGTCTCAAGGCAGGGACAGTGCTGTGAGCCCTCCAACCGCTTCTGGGGCACCTTTTCTACCTGGTTCGTGATGCCCACAACTTCCACAGCCTCCCTTCTCCAGTAATCCTGAAATCAGGGACTAGATGAACTCAGTCTTGCAGTCCTTGTTCTTGAAGTGAAACTTGCTCAGTCGTGTCTGACTCTTTGCGACCTCATGGACTATACAGTCCATGGAATTCTCCAGGCCAGATAACTGGAGTGGGTATCTCTTCTCTTCTCCAGCGGATCTTCCCAACCCAGGAATTGAACCGGGGTCTCCTGCATTGCAGGTGGATTTTTCACCAACTGAGATATCAGGGAAGCCCAGAAGTGAAAGTGAAAGTCGCTCAGTTGTGTCCAATTTTTTGCAAACCCATGGACAGTAGCCTGCTCTGTTCATGGAATTCTCCAGGCAAGAATACTGGAGTGGGTAGCCGTTCCCTCCTCCAGGGGATCTTCCCAACCCAGGAATTGAACCCAGGTCTCCCACATTGCAGGCAGATTCCTACCATCCGAGTCACAAGGGAAGCCCTTGAAAGACACCTACATTTCACAGGGGAACAGGGATAGGCATGGGGTGCCGCACCAGTGGTAGGATTCCAGATTCCTTGGTTGAAGTGGGAAATGTGGGGGCCATCACCAGCCAGACTCACCCTGGGATCTGGTTCTGCAGGCCTCTTGGTTCAGAGATTGATGGGATCTAGCACCTGACCTCATACAGCTGGGGCCAAGGGCAGGGGTCAAGATGTCAGAGGTGGGCGTCGAGGTATCCTGGGGCACTCAGCAGTGCAGAGGGTGAGGATCGGGGCAGGACTGACAATGCAGTCCCCCCAAAGTCTCTGCTTCAGAAATGAACAAGAAGGAAAACTACACAAATAAAGAAGATACTGCATGTGCACCAAAGGAAGAAGCAGGGAGATGAGAAAAGAGCAAGGGGTGAGTCGGGAAGTATTGCCACACTGTGTAATTAGAAAGCCAGCCATTCCAGAGCCTTCCATCAGGGACCGTGAGCGGCCAGGCAGGCCCCAGGGACAGGGGCTTCTGCCGGACCAGCACACCATTCCCACACGACTGTCCCCAGGCCAGGCACCAGGAGGGCCAGCTCTGACTCCCCACCATACAGGACGTGGCTCAGATCTCAGATTTCAGGACCAAATGCTAGCAATGGCATATTCTGTCTCTACCTGTGACTGTCTGGGGGACCTTCAGCAAATCATACAACCTCTCTGTGCCTTGGTTTCTGCAGGCAGAATCCTGGGATGGTGATAATGGGCCAGCCTCCCCAGGGCTATTGGGGGAATTTGATGCATTCATACTGATGAAGGACTTAGCTCAGCAGATGAACATTGCAAGTGCTCAGTAACCATTAGTAATTTCAGTAGCATTTGCTTCTCTACCTTGTACAGGGAGAAGGAGCAGGTATATTCCAGGTGATGTGGAGACAGGGGCTGAGACTACTGAGCATAAACTGTAAGAGGGAAGTCCTAAATATGAGAGGGAAGCCTAGGGAGAGGCTGGGCTCACCATCCCCGAGTTGTGGTTGAGTAGGGAGGGGGCAAGCAAAAGATGAACAGCATTAGGTGTCTTCACCTGCTGGAATCCTCAGAGAGCACACCACGAAAAGTACAGAAAGGCTGTGAAAGCTCTGTGGATGCTGTGGAGAGGACAAAGAGAAGAGGGAAGAGAACAGGTTTTTACAAAGCACCACCTGTGTGCTAGGCTTTGTGCTCACAGCTCCATGGCCTATTAGGCTCCCATTTAACTCTGCCCATAATCCTATGGGGTAGGGAATATCATCGACCCTCTTAACAGATGGTGCAACTGAGGCATGTGGAAGGACTTGCCAAAGAGTTTCCAGAGTACAAGGGCAGGAGGTCAGGCTTTTCCACAAGCCTACAGTTAACTCGCCCTTTCTGTTTGTCATTCCCAAGTGCGTCCTCACCATGAAGCAGAGGCCTGCGCTCAGGAGGAGAAATCTCCTAGGCCTCCAGCTCAGCCTAGCCCAGTGGCTTTGCCCTCCTGTGGGTCAGAGGGGGGAGAGATGACCTGTACGGCAGGGGCAGGGAGGCAGGGGATGGAGGGGAAGGCAGGCCAGCAGGCAGCTCTGGGCAGAAAGCAGCCGCTTCCCGGAAGGGCTCAGTCCTGTTGTGGCTGTGCTTACAGACGAGGGCAGGGCCAAAGGGAGTAGGAGTTTTGGATGGGACAAAGGCTTCTCTACCCCCAACACTTCCCCGCACCTCTCCTCCCAGAAAGGCATGGCTTCTGCTCATAAACGTCAGTGTGAGCAGTGACTGCTGACAGCCTCGCAGGGGCTGCCACCCACCCCGGCTGGGAAGGAGGCCAAGACTGACTGGGCTCTCCTGACCTGGGCCCCTGCCACATTCCCCTCTGGGAGATCACATGTGCCAGGAGCCCAGGCAAAGCTCAGTGGGGCTCAGGAGCCAGCCCTCTTAGCACAGACAGGCCCCCCCTTAAGGACCAAAGAAGCCAAGAGACTTGTTCAAGGACACATAGCAAAT